GCAGGGGCAGCACCCATGGCACTGAGGCTCCTTCCCTAAGCTGACTTCTACCCAAGCCGGCCTCCTTTCTCTCCCCTCCTCCTCCTCCTCCTCCACCGTCCTCTCCGCGTGACCAGGGGAAGGCGCAGCACACGGAGTCGGCCCGGCCTGGGGCCCAGCCAAGCTGTCAGCCCAGATTGGCGGGGGTTGCTGGAGGCCTCGGAGGGGGACAGGAGTGCTTAGGATTGGAAGGAAGAAAATGTTCCAGGCAGAAGAGCTGAGCTGCAGCCTCCAGGGGAGTTCAGAACACCTTTCCAGGCCCAGCAGCCAGAGCCACCCTAGGGATCCCCTACCCAAAAGGTGATACCTATGAGCTGGTTAATTGGATGTCTCCTTAAAACAGACCAAGCTTCCCATGCAGTGCAGTGTGGCAGGGGACCCTGAAAATCTCTTCGTGTCTCAGCCTCCCCCACTGTTTTTTTTGTTTGTTTGTTTTGTTTTGTTTTTTAAACAGGGCTAATGTTATACCCACCCATAGAATTGCAGGAGAATTAAATGAGTAAACAGGAGTCAAGCATTCACAGCAGTGCCCTGCCCTTTGAGGAGCACTCATTACTGGGGAGGAGTCCCGTGTGGATGGTAACTGTGTACTTTCCTGCTGTCCAATCCAAGTCCCCTGGTCCTAATTCTTTCCTCAAAGTTTATTTTATGAAACTTCCCATACAAACTTTTTCACACAGCAGCTTGCTAATGCAGTCACTGTGACACATCAGAACAGTGACATAAGATTGCATAGTGACCCACAAGCTGAATCCCCCTGCGTGCCTCCTGCCAGTTCACTTAAATACTGGCTAGCCTCAGCATGGCCCTCTCTGATAATGCTCCTTTCTTTGCCCACCCCCACCCCTTGCATCCCCAGGACCATCAGCTACCTGTTTGACTGACTATTCTGTTCCATGCCTTCCTGAACTACAATGTAATATCGGGCTAGGCACACTCCCTCTGCTTCAAGGGGGCAAGACTACCCTGCGTGGGTTTCTGGGTGGCAGACAGAAGCAGGAAAAGCCCTGCCTAAGGCTTTGGTTAATGAAAACCCTGCTGTTTCTCTCCTGCAGATCAGGTTGGGGGTTCTTTTGGGTATTGTCCCAAGGAAAAGGAAGGTGGAAGCACAGAGACCTAGGGCATGCCAGAAAAGGAAAATTGGGGAACTTAGGGATCAGGGAGACCTCAATTGTGATCATTCCCTGCTAGGATGAGCTCTCTCCTGAAGTCAGATGGTGGTCAGGCTTCTCCACAGGGATGTCCAGAATCTTCCTTATATCCCATGCCTGGCATAGAGACTGGTACTGTGGAATTAGGAAATCCAAGAGGATAAATGACGGTTGTCACACAACTGCAGCAAGAGGAATCCTGCTGTTGGAAGCAGAGTGTTTGCAGCTGTTTCAGAGCATGCTCACATCTCTGCTGTCACTCATTATTTAGGAGGGTCTTTGTTGTTGTTTCTGTATTTACTGCTTTTGACAAACCAGTATCCCTTTCTTTTTGTGGTGGAGCCAGGTAGTTCACATGGTCTGACTGCAGTCCTGCCCAGAGACTGACACATGCCACATGCCTAACCAGTCAGAGTTCTGCATTCCTCTGGCCACAGCAATTAGTGATCCAGACTGGACCAAAGAGAATCATCCCCAGAACTTTGCTAGAGGTCCTGAGAAAGAGGTATTTTCTGGCAGAAATGTCAACTTGGAGATACTAGCAAGTATACTACATGAAGTCAGCACATGACAGACAAAGCAGAGTTGAGCAAAGTCAAGAGCCAGATTCCTGAGGGTAGCATGTAAACACCCAGATCCAGCCATGCCTGAATCTAGCTAGATCTACACCTTAGTTATTTGTCTGAATCCAAAAGCTCATATGAATCTATAAATTCTTTTTTTTCTCTTGGCAATTTGAATCATATTTCTCTTTCAACTGAACTTTTTCGTATCTGACCCTCTGTTGTACCAAAGACCATAATCACAATATTTGATTGAGAGTTGGGGCTTCATGTCATATCAGAAGTGGAGCTTACCTGTAAGTGCCCCTGTCAGGGGCTTTGGCCTGCTCTGGCCTATCCCCTGGAACTGCTCTTGCCTCCTGACCATTGAGTTGGTGGCCACCCAAACTATTGGCCTTGATTGTGTGTTCTAGGGCATCTGCTTTCTGGGTCAGTCTTGTCCATAACTATATCCTTAGGACCTGAAATAGAGGTTTTCAGAAAACATTAGTGGAAAGAGTTCATGAGACATTGAGGCTTATGTGGTTGGTTGGGATTTGTGAGAGGTTCAAAAAATCAGGATCCCCTATTGCTGCTTCCCTCCCCCACCCCGCCACCTGCCCTTGGTACGTGCTGGCCCTAGTATCCCATCCCCTTGCCTCTCACTTCTGCTGATCACTTTACTCACTCACAAGTATTCAACCCTTACCTTGAGCCATCTCACAGATGACGGTATGGCCAGTAGAGTGAGGAATGAGTTTTCAACATTAACATACCCCTCTGGATTGCCCTACCACACTCTAAAGGCTTGGGTACTCTGGACACTTCCAAGAACACACTCCAAAAGACCACAGCTGCTACCCACCAGGAAGCCAGAAGGGGGGCATGAAAACCGCACAGGAGGAGAGAGGTTGCTGCTGGGACCCAGACTGTGCGCCTCCCAAAATGTGCAGTCGGCACATCTGCCTAGAGAAAAAGGGAGGCCCAGAATCACAAGCTTTGTTATTTTTACTTTTTGGTGTGAGGGGCCATCTGTGCAGGTTTGAGCTTGTCTGGAAGAAACCAGGATTTGTAGATGAAATTCAAATGCAGGATTTCTTTGCAGGCTGTCGTGCTGAGACTTTCTCCAGGAGCTGGGGTGGCAGTGCTGATATTTTTATAGCAGCAGAGCATGCCAGAGTCCAGCAGCTGTTCAGGGTAAATGTGCACACAGGGCCTTCTACCAGAGTGCTGTCAATGCCTCAGTAATGGTCTTCTCAGTGTTGGCTCCACCAAGGATGCCAGGATGGAACTGAACCACCAGCTGTGTAAACTGACCCCAACTGCCTGGAAGGAGGAGGTCTGGAGAACAGAAAATCCAGTGGGGAGAGGAGGTTGGCAGTTTCTAGAGATAAGGGTTAGGGAGGCTCTGACACCCTCCATTATTGCTGTGGGTCCCTCCAAAACTACCTCAATAAGCATGCAATTGTAGACCCATGCCTAGGATATGGCCATTGCCCCCATTTTCAATTATAGGTCACCCTCCTGCTCCCTGCATGGAAATTCAATTACTGCCCTGTTTGAGCTGAAGGTGGAGATGTCCAAGTTGGAGACCCCCTCTAGCATCTTCTCACAAACCAGGCTTCCTGGGGGAAGGGAGGACACTGTAATGTGGGGTCGGGAAAGGCCATCCAGTCTCCTTTTGACATCATCAGTGAGAGTCCTATATAGGGCCCTCCTTGTAACAGCTGCTGCTGCCTGGGTACCAACCCACACATCACATGCTGATGAAGTTTGCATTCAAATAATAACATAGGTGTTATCTGTGAAAACTTGTCTCTAATTTGTAGCACAAAACATTGGATGTAGGCTGGATGCTTTCCTCGGCACTTCTCTCCCGGGCCAGATGTGTCACATCTCCTTCTTAAGGTGTCTACCAGGACGAAGGGGAGAGGACATGAGATTTAGCGCATATAAGTTTAGAAACTCTTTGATGCTGTTCCTGATAACTTGTTCCAGGTCCTGGGGGTGGTATGGTGGTGAGAGAAGAGGGCAAATGATTTGTGACTCATCCAGTCATTGCTGTGCCCCTTAACAGTCCTGCCTTTTTCTATTTTATCCCAAATAATTCAATCTAATAATAGGCAGGGGCTGTAGCCAAAAGTGATCCATAACTATTCACTTTTTTTTTTCTTCCAGAAGATCCCTTAATTGAAGAATGGGATTTGAAGTACACCAAGAGGGGTCTTTAGCTCAGAAATACTGCCCCCAAAACACATGTACGCACACATTGTCATTGCACCCAGAGAGAACCCCATCCCAATGTGTGGGATCATAGCAAAGCAGAGTAGAGGAAGATGAGACAGGGACTAGGAACATAATGACAGACACTGCCAGGCAGGACCACTTTACCAGGGAGAGTAAGGTTCAAAACTGACAAGGATCTCAGATAAGGGCTTCCAAGGCCTCACTGGACTCCAGGCTGTGCTGAGGCTGACTAGCTTGGGCGGACAGACTTCTGTGTTTTTTGTTTTGTTTTGTTTTTTCCCCACAGAAACAAAAGGATGAAATCATTAGCATCAATTGGGCACATTCAGTGTAGATTACTGACATGCCATTGTTATGAGGATAAAAGAAATATAATTAATAAACCCCACCCTGCCCGCCTTTTATGCTTCCACGAATTCAGTATTGACATCTGCATCTATCTCATCCCACAGATGAGCCATCCCTTTCAGCTGGCCTGGACATCGCTAAAATGAACAGTGCCGAAAATCACTCCTGGGATCTGTAAGCCCATCTTTCTCAGAGGCAGTTTGTCTTCTGGCACAGTTTTTTCCATCAACGAGGCTGAAGCAAGAGAGGGTTTCCCAGCAGCCCAGTTCAGGTTCCATTCTAGGAGGAACAAAGCCTGCGGGCCCATGGCAGAGGAACCCCAAGTTTCCTCCCACCTAGAATTTTTCTTCAGGGCCACCCCGCAGGGCAGTCCGTGACCTTTTGGGCATCAGTCCTTGATAGGTATGGAGAGACCATTTTCAGGCAACAGCCTTGGAATCTCACCTGCCTCACCTCTGGCCTTGACATGCCTTAGATGGAATGAGGGCTAAAGGTCACCCTGGAGATCTCTGAGAGGCCAGGGGATTTCGGGGCCCACTTGCTTACCAGTTTGACTTCTGCCCTGTGTACCAGTCACCCTCACCTCCACCCCACTGTGGTAACTAGAAAAAAAAAAAACGAAACCTTTGCATGAAAGGAAGCAGGGGAAGTCTCTGAAGTGTGACTGCAAACCTGAAAACAGAAAACTAGTCTTGCATCACCATCTGGAAGACAAGAGTTTGAGGAGAAACAGAAAGCAACTTTTAACCCCTGAGAGGCTGCACTTAGTCACTGAGAGAACATCCTGTTGCCTCCTTGCTTCTGAACAGGACTGCTGGCTGGAGGGCTTGCACTGTCCCTTGGGCCCAGGAGGAAACAGAGGCCCAGAGTAGGTAAGTAACGAGCTAATGTTGTTAGAGCCAAGACACTCACTAAGTATGGGAATCATGAACTCAGATGTCTTTGGAAACCAGGCAGGTGAAAGAATATGTTTCTGGATACTGAGACATGGCCAAATAGTCTGGTCTTCCAAGGAGAAATATGCTTCCTTTGCCATTTTTTCTTGAAGTACTCTACCTTCTTGATCTATACTGTTTTCTCCCATTCGATGGCTACAGATACAAGAAATATTTGTCTGTTCCAAGAAGATGTGCAGTGTGTATGTAAAGATAAACAGCTATGGAGTCAGAGACATCAGCATGAGGTACTATAGGGATTGGTAGGGATTTGGGCACATTGCAGATAGACTTTACTCTGCCTGTAGGACAGTCAAGAGTTGGGGAGCCCTATCTGAATGGGAATGCTCCTAAGTTTTAAATGTTGGTTGAAAGGTGATTTAAAACCCTTTGGCAGTCTAAATACAACAAAAACTCATGGGTGCACCTGACTACATACAGGTCCTCATGCACAACTTCTGCATTAGCCTCTGCTTTGGCCTCACAGTCTGGAGGAGGAATAGAGGATCGATAACTTCAGAGGAGTGCTTCAGATCAAGTCACCATCTTTGCAGAGATTGAGTACTCATCTCTTGTCTATAACAAGAGAACCATTGGTTAGGTGCTCAGCAAGAGGGATGCAGAGAAGGTTCTTGAAGGCTCAGGTTGTGACTGCTGGAATAGATTTAACTTTGGACTTTGTTTCTTTTAAAAGGATGGTATCACTGGGAGGGTTCATCACCATTCTTTCCACAAATGAAGCTGGATTCCTGTATGTCATCTCATCCTTGCAGCTCTCCTGGGAACTGGAAGGCACTGGTATGTGGCTCCTTTGCTCAGAATAGGACTGGGGCAGGGACTTGATTCCTTCCTGTTAATGTCTTGCTTTTCAATCTTATTTTCTTCCAGAGGAACCTTTGGAAGTAGAGGATAGTGGCTATCTATGTAAGAATCCATTCATTCATTCTTGGAGCAAGTATTTAATGAACACCTGTTTTGTGCCAGGCCCCATGCGAGTCAATGAAATCAATTGGTAGGTAATCACTTAAAAATAAAAAAACAAAAAGAGTGACTTTGTGTGCCTATTTTATTTTACTTGCTTTTTATTTTTCCAGATGGGATCTCATTGTCCAGAATAGCCTTGACTATCTGGGCTCAGGTGATCCTCCTCCCTCAGCTTCTTCCAAGTAGCTGGGACTACAGGTGCCCTGTACCATACCCTAACCCTAACCCTAAACTACTTAGAGATAATACAATGAAAAGAAACAGCCATATAGGGAAAAAAAGCAAATATTTTCATTAATTTATATGTGTGAAAAAATTTCAGGAGCAAGGTACACATTATTAATACCAATATTGTTAAGAATAGATCTCTGAGGGATTTTTGCTTACTATGTTGTGTGATTTTGAAGTATTCTAACTTATTATACCTAAAAATCTCTACTTTCATAACTAGAGTAAAACTAGTAAAGTTAAATAATAGCAATTTTAATGGAAAGAAAAGTCAGCAATACCGAGTGCTGGAACAGATGTGAGGAGGTGGGAACTCTTCATCCTCCCTGGCTGGGAGTGTAAAGTGGTGCAATTTGGGAGAGGAGATGATTACCTTTAGAAAGATGCAAAGGCGCATGCCCTTTGACATGGCATTTCCATGTCTAGCAGTGTGCCCTGCAGGAGTTTGTATGGGTGATACACATGTGCGCAAGATGTCAATTAAAGCACCATTTGTGATGGTGAAAAAAGAAATTGGAAATCTATTTGTGCACCAGGGTAGGAGGGACTATAAATATATACCACAGTTAAAAATGAATGAATGTGACTATTGGTATCAACATGGACAAACTTAAAAGTAACGTGGAAAGAAAATAGCAAGTGACATGATGTAAAAGGTTTGGTGCCGTTGATGTTATTTTTAAAAAACCCAGAGTGGTGTTTGCTATATTTATTGCTAATGGAGCCACATGTAAATGATAAAAGTCTAAACATAAATGGAGTAATCATACAATCCACCCCTGGTAATTGTTTCCTCTGAGGAGAAAAGAACCATGAGATTGGGAAGGGACACTAGGGAACTTCACTTGTGCCTGCCATATTGTATTTCTTTATTTTAAAAAGTATGTGGCCCACATAGTGGCACATGCCTGCAGTCACAGCTACTTAGGACGTTAAGGTAAAAGGATCATAATTTTGAGACCAGTCTGGGCAACTTCGTGAGACCTTGTCTCATAATAAAGAATAAAAAGGGCTGGGGATATAGTTCAGTAGTAAAGTACCCCTATGTTTAATCCCCACTACCTTTAAAAAAAAAAAAAGGAGAAGGAGAAGGAGCAGCTCATATGGCAAATCTGGGTAATGGGTCCACAGATGTCATTTGTGTTATTCTTTGCACTTTAAAATCTTTGCCAACCTGGTGGTATAAACTGATCTTGTTGTTTTATTTTTCATTTCTCTGATGATTTGTGCTTTGAATAGTTTTCTTGCCAGTTCCCATTTTTGACAACTGTATTAATGGTGAACGGTGAAGTGAGTGTTGCAGTGGTGAGAGGGAAGGTGGAAGTACCCTTTGGGCAGGTGACCATTCAGGTTTAAGCCAGGTGGAGGCTGACTGGGGGGGTAGAGATGCAACCAGGAGGTGTCATAAGTTGGAGTGGTGAACTTGCCCAGGGACAAATGTCAAGGGGCAGTGGTGGCCCTGAAGGGCCCTATGACTCCTTCAGCTTTTGTTGGAACAGAGAGGAGGGATTTGGGAGGAATGGTATCAGGCATGTAATTGGGAGGTGTGCAGCCACAGAAGCTGAAGGACGATGGAATGTTTCTAGAGGGCAGGTGGAGTCAGCAAAGCTAAATGTGGCAGGGATGAGGCTGGAGAGCACTGTGAGATTTGTCACCTGGAGATTGTGTTAGTCAGCTTTCCATTACTGTAACAAATCCCTGAAATAATCAATATATGCAGAGGAAAGGTTTGGTTTGATTCAGTTTTGGAGTTTCTGGCCCATGCTTGGATGGGCACATTGTTTTTAGGCCTCTGGTAGAGTGGTAGCACACTGTGGCAGCAATGTGTATAGAGCACAACTGCCGCCCTCATGGACAGGTAGTAAAGGAAAGGCAGAGGAAGGGGCTAGGGTCCCACTGTTCTCTTCACAGGCATGCTCTTCATGACTCAAAACCTCACACTGGGCTCTATCCTCCCAATAGTGTCACACTGAGGGCCAAGCCTTTAACACATGAGCCTTTGGGGATCTTCCAGATCCAAACTAGAGCAGGTGTCTTAGATGGCCTGCGTATATGCCCAGCTGGAGGGTGCTGCAGAAGTGACGGTGGTATAGATAACACTTTCAAAGGGGCTTCTTAGGATGGGAGGAAGATGGGGTTAATGACCAGGGAAGAGGAAGCAGGCTGGAGGGAGGAGAGCACATCAGAGCAAACTGCTAAGTGCTCCTGGGGTCCCCCTGCTCTCAAGTGGGCTGTGTGGGACACACAGGGAATCCAGCCAGTCTCACCCTCAGCACTGTCCCCCAGAGATGCAGGGTGAAGACATGTCCTCAGCTCTAAACCACTCACAGGAGTTTATTATGAATCAGAGATCGTATCACACCACCACATCCAGCAGTGGTAGATTCAGGGATGGTGACCACCATTTTTTTAATGTGCTAAGCACTGGGATAAACATTTCCTATGCATTTTCTCATTTCATTTCCCCTCAGTTCTATGGGATAAAAAAACATTGTTGTCATCCTTAATCCTTATTTCATAACTGAGGGACACTGAGCTTGGAGAGGTTAAGCCCAGATCACACTAGGAAGTGGCAAAGCTGAGTCCCAGTTCAAGGTGAATGCCTGCAGAGTCCAATGAAGAAATGACACCAGTGTGGGCCGAAGACAGGGTCAGACTCATTCAGGAAGTGGGATTCAAGCCGGCATTGGGCAGGTTGGCAGGCAAATGCCTGCACAAAGGTACAGGGGCAGAAACTTGAGGGAGATGGAGGCAGTCATTCAGGCAGGGCCATTTAGAAATTAGTGTTGGTGTCGCTGATTTTTACAGACATTCCATTGCCTTCCTGCTTGTCCCCCGTATGCAGCATAGCCTCTTTCTTATGGTGCAGAGAGGCCTAACTCTGGGTTGTTTCCTCATCCTCTGCCTCCAGACTGGCTCTGAACAGGTCACTGTCACTACTTTCCTCTTTATCAAACCCAACTTCCTGTTGCTGGGGAGACTACACCCATCTTTTATTTGATGTACAAAAGCTCCTCGCGACATGTTCTCTGTCATCTCTTCTGCCTCATCTTCTCCTTCCTCCTGATACACCTCTATCCTCTGACTCCTACTTGTGCCCAATTGTGAGCACTTTTTGCAAACTGCTGAGGAGTGTTCAACAGCTGCACCTCTAAAGCACAGCGAAAGTGCTATTCCTGCCCTCTGCTCCCAGAGGCCCCCTGCTCAAACTAGGACCCTCATGAGATAACAGTTGTTTATATGTCTCACCTGCAGGCTCACCTGAGTCCCTTGGCCACACTGTCTGTATCTTTGTCTCCCATATTGGTAGTGCTTAGCACACAATAGGGGATCAATAGGAGGACATCTCACACATCACGCTGGAAAAAGCATTAGACTTAACTTTTTGGATAAAGATGCTACAGTTTTTGGAATTGGCTTTGATCAGGACAGTGATTTAAAGAGGGGGAGAACGGGTGGGGAAGGTTTATTTAATAAAGAATAACATTGCACTTCCATCTGAGGCTCTTGGGAAATAGTACCTGGTAACCAGTGAAACTGAGCACATTAGAGTCTTCTGGAGTTAAATTTGGAATTAGGACGAGGTAGGGAAAATCTATGCTCATTGAATACAAAATGCAATTGTCTGTCAGTGCAGGAACTGAAGTATCTGCAGCAAATTATATTTAAGACTCTATTGTCACAGGCAGATTAGCTAATGCTTGATTTTAAGTATAGGCTTCTAATGCTATTACTCCTGGTTAACTCTGCCTGGCAGGTAACCTTGTGGAACAAATGACTGCATTGCTTGAATAACATATTTGATCAAATAGGACAATTCTTTCAAAAATTGAGTTCTCTGTGGCAATTTGAGACCTGTAATCAGCAAATTAGATGATTACAGCAGGGATAAAAATAGTCTTCTAACAATGTCCAAGGTATAAATGTGATTTGAATTTCAAAATGCTGAACATGTGGTAGGAAAATGCACGGTTGGGTAAATATGACTAGACATTATCAGATTTGATTTCTCTTTCCGTCCCTGCTCTGAGCTACAGCCTAATTTTGCCGGAATAAACTCCAATCTTGTTTGTGTTGGAGTTAGAGGATAGAGGTGTATCAGGCACTAGGCTGCAAATCTTCGACGGCTCCCAGCTTTCCCTATCTGCTGCAGGTACTTGCCGTCCATGTGAATATTAGCACCACTGATTTACCCACTTGGTATTTAATAGCCTCCATGAAACAATAAGCTGTCCAAGTTTCATGCGGGGAAGATGACACTGGAAAACCTTCAAAACCCCCCATACAGGAACCTGTTGTCTTTTTCCTCAGGCACAGTGGGCAGAGAAATGATAGCAACTCAAGTGAGCAGGGGAAAAATATGAGGGTGTGGTATTTTGTGCCACAATCCAGTCTTCAAGGTTGGTCAATAGGTTGGTTTCTCCAACATAGAGCTAGCTTTCTGTCACTGTGACAATATACCTGAGATAATTAATTTATAAGGAGGAAAGATTTATTTTGTCTCAGTTTGTCTGAGGTTCCAATACACAGTTGCTTGGCTCCATTGCTGTGGTCCTGTGGTGAGGCAGAGAGAACTCACTTTTATAACAGAGCCTCTCCCTCAAAACCCTTTAAAGCATGAATCCATAAATGGATTAATCCATTCATGCTGTCAGTTCTTGTGACCCATCACTTCCCCAAGGCTCCATCTCTGAACACTGTCACACTGGGGACCAAGCCTTTGACCCATGAGCTTCTGAGCCACATCTTGGCCTCATAGCATCTGCTTCCTTGGGTTGGCCTGCCATTTCACCTCTGATGTGTAGCTGGCATTCCCTCACCTCAGTTGGTTTTAGTTGAATAGCAGAAATGACCTGGCAAATAAGTATATAGAGCCAATCAGAGAAAGCTCAAAGTAGCCACCAACTGATTACCAGCAAATGGAAGCTCCTCTCAAGAGGGCAGACTTGATTTTTACTTACTGGTGGCTCTTAGAGTTTCTGACACAGCCACAGAAATTGATCACTGTGGATTTTATTTACCCATCCAGGATTTACCCTTTGTTAGCACAGATGATTCAGAGCTCCCTGTGGCAATGTTGCCATTTGAAAAAAAATCCCGATTTCCAGAAGAGCACCATTTATATATAAGGCATTCTCATTTCAGTGTTTTCAATAACATCCTTTGTAGTGTAAGGGCTTGCTTTATGAGCTATGAATTAAAATTTACCTCAGATATGCTTTCAGATCCGTTACCTCACATTTGTCAAGCTCTCAATTTTATAATAAAACTTTGCAAATAGAAACGTATTTCAGTGCCAATTTTACAGATAAATGCCAAACTAAGTAACCACTTTTAGGATTTTGCCAACTAGTCACAAATGGTCACTGTTCAAAGCTCACTTCTTTTAAGACAAAAGCACCTGAGATGAAGAAATAACTAGCAAGGGGTGGTCATCGTTTGACTAGATATCATTATATATGGATTTCTAATGTGCTTATTAGGAAAACTGTATTAAAATTTGCCAGAACCACATCAATGTAAAAAAGTAGGGTCTCCTTCCAACTTGGAATAAATCGAAGATTTAAAATGGCTGGTTTTCTTTCTACATTAAATTTTTGCAAAATAAGATAAAACCGGCTGAAAATAAGTAGTATTTATTTGCTCATTCACCTTTCCTTGAGTGCATGCCCCTTCCCCCAACACATCGAAGCATAGTTAGAAAGTGAAACAAGACTTGAGAATATCAACAAGTGATGTGGGCAGCACACATCAGGCCTTCAGGTGGACAGTGATCATCAGCAAAGTACTTGGTCAGTTCCTCAGTCAAGGAGCAGTTTTATATCCTGACCTTCAGCCATATATTATACTTTGCATTTTCTTCTTAGAAGCACAGTTTCAGGCTACTATGTTAAGTTCTCCAAATAAAATTCATTTATTCTTTCGGTTAAGATCTGGGTAAGGGTATAGTATTAATTACAGATTTCTTTACAACCTTCAAACAGCCCCAGGGAGGAAATTATACTTATGAATCCTTCTAGATGTGGAAATGACTTTAGCACCATTGCCACTGATGGCTAATGAACCTGATGTGAGTGGCCGCCTGTGCAGGAAACTGCAGAAGTGCCAAATCAAAAGTCTCACTCCCAGCTCCAAAGGCCTCAAGAGGTAGACAAGGCTATGTTTGAAGCTTACTCCCTATTTTAAATGTTTTCTCTAGAAAGATTCAAGCTTCAAGAAGCATGAAGTCAAAAAGAGAACTTGACACAGCCACACTGAGTTGACTTCTAACTTCTAATTACCAGACACTGCTCATAAAACCAGCTGTCTCAAAGACAGTATTATCTTTATTAAAAACGGATAGACATAGCAGCACTTACAAAACAAAAGTTCATAAGAGGCATGGTACACTGTCAACTGATGTGTAAAGGGCAGGCCCTGCTGGTTGAGGCTGTGCATCACAATGCTTGCTCACAACCACCTGTTCCACCGAACACGAGGCAACCCAGAACACCCGAGGGGAGACCAACAGCAACAGCGGCACTCCTCAACTTCAAGCCTTTGTTATTTGTGTGAACAGTCAATCAAGTCAAGTATCACCCTCCTTAGCAGCATGTGGAGCACTCATTGGTGTTCTGGAGGTGGCTGGTGTACTTGACCCACTTATTTAAAAAAATCTAAGTATTCAATAAAAAACACTTCTCCCTGTCCAATGCCAATCACAGAAATACTTCTGTTGCAGAAGAGAGATACTCTTCACTTAAATATCTGTAAAAGCTAGTACACGCCTCCACTGCAGTAGACAGGAGAGAACTATGAGCAGGCACTTCCGCAAAACTGTCTTTGGTGGAGAATGCTGGGGTGGTCACACTGTTTCCTGCTCACTGCTCTGCTTCTTACTGCTCTGTGGTGGGGTGAGGACCCCCGAGGGGGGAGGAGAAATCCTGTTTTGTTCGGACAATATGGCTTTCTTTGCTTGGGCTTTGTCCTATTGATAAGAAAAAAAGGGAAAACTGTTAAGGTGGAAGAACATATCCTTTGTTTCACTTACTATACGTTATTGGTAAGGAGGCGAGTGAGGGGAAAAACAGCAAAAAACCACTTAAAAGTTTATGGTCTACATGATAACTGACATACAGCATCTATAAACCAGAAATTTTCTTCAAGGAATTAAGAGAATTGGGAATTTTTCTAGGATGTCTGAAGGCTGCATGAAGTGAAGTGAATAGGTTATCCAGGAAGCTTTAAGGTTCTCTCTGGTCAAGAAGGATTGGAGCAAAAACATTACTAACCAGCAAATCCAAGCTGTTGACGTGGGTCTGTATGTTATGGGCATCTTCAGCAGGAACCCCCCTGAAATGCTTTAGTTTGGAACTTCCTGTCTCTCTTATAATCATGGCAAATGGAACCATCCACTTGACACACTTCTCTATATCACACCATTGGTACCCTGTGATGAAAAGAAACCATAGGCTCAACCAGATGTTGATAATTGGTGTCTAAGTTTAATACACTTTGTTTGTGAATTCACCAGAAAACTAACGTACCTGAAACCTTTTGCATCAATTCAGATGAAGAGAAATGATACAAGGCAGAAGCAGCAAGTACACCGTAGGGAAATTCTAAGCAGCCAACATCAAGGACGCAGAGATCTAGAAGCTATGAGAAGAAAAGAACGCTGAAACAGAGGGGCACACACATCACTTCTAGAGTTCTTCACTCTAGCTGTGGGGTTAGGAGCCCCTAGAGGCAATGGAGCTACTTACCTCTGCAATCTGTATAAAGATTTGCTGGGGATACTGCGGCAGTAGCACTTCATATACGTCATTTAGATATGCAACCTGCATGTATACATTCAGCCAGGACACAATGGTCAAGGGACTTAAACGCCACTTAAGGGCCTAAGGAAAACAGGAAAGAGACCAATGGTTGTGAAAAGAAGTTCAAGATGTAGCCATTTTCCACACCACAATGTGCCCATCTAAAGACCTACCAGATGTGCTCAAACTTCATGTGAGAAATACTTATGTGTGTGTTTTAAAAATGACTGGAAATAACTTGTAACCTACCTTCATTATCACTAATTCCATGGTAAGAATTTCATCTCCTGAACAAGCACCATCTGTAACATAAGCAAATTGGTGCAACTTTGGAGGATAGATTTCCTAAAAGCAAATAAAAGATACCATTAGCAAACATCCAGTATCATAATAATTTCACCTTATAATGTGCATCTGAAATTATTTTTTAGTACCCTGGCATGGAAAAATGATACACTGATGTGATTACTACAGGAGCTACTTTAACAGTTCAGTATGTGTTAATTGTAAAAAAAAATGAAACTCCAACCTCCACTAAATAAATGAATGAATACATATGGTGATTAATAGAACTTTACTCAATGTATTTTTAAAATTTTCACCTTCTCAATATCTTTAACATGTCTGGAAGTTGGGCTCAAACACTCTTCTATTGTCACACCAAAATTTTTATCTTCTTAGTTCAAGGTTCAATTTTTTTGCTTAAAGTAACTAAACTAACCAAACATTTTATACATTATACATTTATTCCTCTCTTCTCTTCATTAGTCCTCAGTCTTTCTGTATATGTCTTAACTTTAGAAGACTTCAAATTAGAAAAACTTAGGATATGCATTACAGACAAATAGCTGACCTCTTCTCCTAATCTTAGTGGAACTCAAGAAATGAAATATTATATAAAATATTTGAAATTATTTACCTCAAGTTTGGCAGCAATAAATAAAGCTGAAATCCCAATAAGCTGTAAAAGTGTTTTTACAATATTTTCTTGCGTTGCCATATACCGATCAAAGAAATCTTGGGCCAAGTAAAACGTCTCCCTGTGAAGTTTATAGACTTCACACACCTGAAAAAATATTTAGTAAATTTTATAACAGTTACTCAAGGGAAAAAAAAAATCTTGCTCTGAGTTTTGGTAAAAGACAACATAATCAGACCAAGAGTGATAAGAATAACTTTGTTTTTCTGAAAGGACTGTTACCTTGTTTGTGCCTAAGCACATGTACAAAGACAAACTTGGGCGCAGATATAAGGATTAAGTTTCTGTGATCTATGTAGTAGTAAAAGCAAGTGTTTGTAGGCCAGAGAAGGAAGACAGGTTTAAAGCCTGGTGAGAGCAGGCATTTTTTCTTTTTGTAGTACTAGGGATTGAACCCAAGGGTGCCCTACCACTGAGCCACATCCCCAGCCATTTTTAAAGAGAGGGTCTCACTTAGTTGGCCAGCTGGCCTTGAGCTTGCAATCCTCCTGTCTCAGCCTCCTGAGTCACTGGGATTACAGGTGTGTACCACTACACCTGGCTGAAAGCAGAATTCTCATGAAGTAAGACAAAAAAATCAAATTTATGAATTTTCTCAAAAATGTTGTCCCCTTTTATAAGTTTCATGATAAGTCAATTTAAGGAAAGAACTGCAATAGTTCTTTATAACTAAATGATACCAATAAAAAAGTTTAAAAGCTGGAACTCAAATTTATTTAAAGACTACAACATGCCCCAAACACTATAAATCACAAGAGGCAAAAACTTTGTTAAAAGCATTAAAAAGATTCAGAGACCTAGGTTATAATTTAGGCTCTACCTTAAACAAACACATTTATTTCACTATAAAATTAGGACAATACCTGTTCTGCCTACCTCTCAGAATTGAGTATCCGGTGAAACAGTATACAAGATGGGATTAAAAAGGGACCAAGAAAATATTAGTCTTCAACTCAGTACCAACACCAAAAGTATGATTATGCACGTAAAACTCCAACACCACCACTGCCACTCACCAACAGGCTATCTCCTGTAACTGCAACTGTTGGGGTTAACATGTAGAAAGGTGCCAGAGAAAAACACACAAAATTCTGCTAGAAAATTCTATCAATCACCATAGATGATTTCTAAAGGTCATTGTGACATGGTAAGTCCATAGTGGGCAACTGCAAGACCTGTACTTTAAAAAAGTAGGCCTTCTAAAGAATCTACTACAAAAAAAAAAAAAAAAAAAATGTTGACATTCTTAGGGGCCAATGAAGAAACACAAATTAAGAATGATTATAAAAAACCTTTCTGTACATCATTTCTAATCTGCACAAACTCTGCAAGAAAATATTGCTAGAAAATATTACAGATGAGAAAACTGAGACTCAGGTGACTTGCTGGACTTAAGCACCTAGATGGTAAGTGGCAGCAGGGAATTTCATTCTAGGACTAACACAATTGTGTTTTGCATACCCTGGAGAATGCTGACCTTCTACAGGATATACAGTATGACAGTGTTATCACATTTATAGGGAATAGTTAGACACTCAACTTCTACATGTTCTCTTTCATGAAGTAGATGTGCCTGAGAGGGTCCTCCCATTTCTCAGAAGAAAAACACTTCTCATCTACCCAAGTATTTGAGTAGCCATCAAGCTTCCCTTAAGCAAGGAAGTTATTTGCAGTGCATCCCAGTAAGAGGTGCACTGCCAATAAAATTTCACTTTTTATATTAAACGATTATCTTGCTGATTTGTAATACTTGTTGTTTTGACCAGTTGTTGCAGAAGTATGACAGTGTGATCAATTAGAACAGTATGGTCTGTTAGGAAATTGTTCTGTGAGGAAAGAAAAATGGACTTCTGGAATTTAAAAGGGAACAATGTGAAATTTGACTATTAAAGATAAGCTTGTTCATATATTTTTACAAGTTATGATAGTGGCTATCAAATAGCTGATACCTGCATTCCAGTAGATATATTTAAAAGCAATTTAATGAACAGAGCTCAAATATCAATATTTACAATTTATTGGAAAATAAAGTCTTTGCAACTATTTAACTTTGATGGAAAAAATTTGATGCCAACTTTAAAATACCTGCAGGATAAAGAGATCTTAGAAAAGAATACGAGTAAAGCCAGGTGCAGTGGCTCATGCCTGTAATCCCAGAGACTCGAGAGACTGAAGCAGGAGGATCTCAAGTTCAAAGCTAGCCTCAGCAACTTAGTGAGGCCTTAAGCAACTCGGCAAGACCCTGTCTCTAATAATATATAAAAAAGGACTGGGGATGTGGCTCAATGGTTAAGCGCTGCAGGGTTCAATCCCCTCCCCCCATACCAAAAAAATAAAAAGCAAGTAAAAAGTTTAGACTGCTATACTAAATATACCAGGAAAGCTTCTGAGATATCGAATATATCAATGGAATCAAGCACACACAGATAGCTTAACAGCAAAGAAGGATCTAGAAATGGCCAATGAGTCCAGTGAATGGGAAGACCTAAGCTCACCTCCATTAACCAATCCAGAAGAATTGCTCGCATTTTAGGCTGCAGAAGAGGGTGTCGCTGCAAAAAGTGCTCATCCCTTAAATACATCTTTTCCTTGTTTAGCATGATTTTCCAAACCTCCTCTCTATTTGCCCAGCTACAGAAAAAAAAACAAAAACAAAACCCCACACAAGTGTCAGTATGCATCCATACTAAGGAGGACTAATAAGTGGAGTAGAGGTTGGAAGTCATGTAGCAAAGTCAGCACTTACTTCAGTAAAGGAAGTGGTGAGGCTCTGGATGGTGTAGATCTCTGAGGCCCAAATGTAGAATTTGTGTATACCAGCTCATCCTCCTCTTTGTCAGGTGTAGGGATCAAGGAGCAGGGATTTGCACATACTGTATTATTGTCCCAAGGCTGTAATTGAAAAACACATTTTAAAATGTTTGATGTAAACCAGCTGTTTTTACATTCATGGATTTGTAGATTAACCAGTACTTCAGAAAACATCACCACACTGAAGAATAATATCCAGGACTAAATATTCTAGGTTAAGATGAATATGGCATGGACAAGTAAAAGAGGGTAATGACTCCCAGCTTTCATTTCACTTCTGTCACTAACTTAGGAGTCCATGCAGTGAATTCCTAAGGAAGCTAAGAAATCAGCAGCATTTTATCCTCTACACTATCACCCCTCAACTGAGGTGCTTGAGCAGCAAAATGGACATGGAAGAGGTAAGATACAGGCAAATAGCTCTGACATTACAAAAAAAGACTAGCCAAATATATCAGACAAACCTTTTGTTTTCCCCAACTCAAAACAAAAAATAAGCCACCTAGTTAAAACCAAATCAAGCAATGGTCACAGGTAATACGAAGTCCATGGAGAGAGAACCTAGACCTTTGAATCCTACCCTCAGATCCTTGCAGTCAGACTCAAATAGCTGATGAATGAATTATCATTAAGAACCCAAACAGTATGCTTTTATTTGAAAGATTTCAGAAATTTCAGTATTTGGAAAAGACTAAGATCATTTTGTCATTTGGAATATTTTCTTTTTAAGTCACTATTTACCATCCTACTGTAAAAAGAATTATTTTAATTTTTAAAGTTGTAAAATTGTAACTGAAGATATTAGGCAGGTGACAATCCTGCTAGCATGGAAGTACTATCTGAGCCACTTGTCATTTTTTTAAAAACAGAGAGATCATTATAACAACTGTAATGAACATGGAAACTCTGCTCTAAGTGCTCCCTTGAAGACAACCCATGTTGTATCTGGGTGGCTGAGAGTTATCACCTCTCAGCCACCCAGATATAATGCCACAGTCCTATCATTACAGTTGTTCAATACATGTTCAATACAATGGCTGCCACAACAACAGGCCATCTTCAGAGCAAACCCAAATGCTTTGTCTAGTGAGAAGGGCAAAGCTGGATAAAGCTCTTCCCCACTCAATGCAGAAACAATTGGGCATGCAAATTATCCATGACAGCTCCTGCCAACAGCTGCGAAAGAAAGGCAACTTCCTTTTGGTTCTAGTATCATATGTTGGTAGCATTTCCTTGACTCAAGGTTCACATTACAACTGTTCAAGAATGAATTCTAGTTCTGAAGGCACAAGTTGGGTGTCACCCTCCTAGGCCAGATGGCTGGCACTTCTGAGTGCAGGCTTATGCAGATAAAACTAACCGGTAGCAGTTCCCAACCTGCAGTTCATAGACAAATTAGGTGTACCACAAGCAGACAAATGGCTTCCAAAGCTGGCCTTTTTAAGAGCCAGTGGATGAGTCAGAATAATTAAATCAATGTCCTTCACCTTCAGTGTATACCAAGTTTCAAAGGAAGCAAGATCAGTCTGACTTAAGTTAGGAAAGAATGGGACAACAACAAGAGACCAACTGTGACTACTGCTAACTACTTAACTTTATTTCTGCAAAATTTTCTGAGAAATAACTAATAGTCCAGGATTCTATTTCAAACAAAAAAGTTGGGTCTTATGTGAAAATTAAATAAAATGGACATGTGAAATAGATTTTAGGTAAAAGGGCACTGTTCATTAAGAACGGCCTAAGGTAAGAATCACCAAAAGTTCCATGTGGCCTTGAGGAAGTACAAAGGCACAATGGCTTCTACTAGCTCAAATTTGTTATAGTAGGCTGAGAAAAATCTTCTTAATAGGCAAAAAATCTGTTGAACCCCCCAATTCTAGCTTCATGAAATCTTTACAGAGAAAAAACAAAAATGCTCCATAAATAGGTGGATAATTTTCAAGATACCATCTATTCTCTAAGATGTGCAGAAACCTATTGATTAATTTCTGGACAACCATGAAAATGCCTTCCTGGGAGAAATGACATGGCTGTTCATGCATCACAGTTATCACCTCTCAGCCACCCAGATACAATGCCACAGTCCTATCTGAGGCACTTAAACAATGTTCAAGTTATATGTTGAGAACAGAAATTCCAAGTCAATATATGGATGGGTTTGCTTCATCTTAGAAATTTCTATTCAAAACACAGCTGGAGAAAAGAAGCAATCTTGAATTACACAAAGCAGGGATTCATTTTATAATACCCACAAAAATCAACCTGCTTGATTTGAAGGCTCTTTTAAGGGGAGAAAAAGAAGAAATGACTTTGGATGACTGTCTTATTTCCTTTCCTGCAGAGAAGCATTTCTTTTAACAGAGACGGAAATCAACTCCTTATTCAATATTCAGTGGTCTTTCCCAGAGATGCTTTTAACTAGAGTATTATATATAGTAACAACTGCTATTACAAACAACATGGCCCATCACTTTGAAGCACTTCGCTCTTTCAGACCAGCTACCATGGCTATTGCTCACTGCTTTACAAAGTGATGTGTGTCCACTGCAAACCTTATTGGGACTACTGCCACACTCAGGTCAAGTACTGTTCCTGCTCAGCTTTTTATCTGTGATAGAGGCAGAAGGCCTGACTAGCTAGTTTGGAGATAGTCTGCTTCCCCCATTGGAGCCCTAACTGCAGACTCCAGCCATTTCTGGAGGTAAAGAGATAATACAAGCTCTTTCTGCAAGGAACTTCTGATGTTTACAATGATATCACACTGCATACAGGAAATTTGGCAGGAACTCCATAAGGAGGGGCAATAGAAATGGAGTAGTCAATAAAAAAATGAGTTGACACACAGACCATTACCCAGAATGTTCCACTAATACTCTTGCTGAAGCCAGGTTAAGCTCAACAGAACTGGTCCATGTGGGGGGATTGCTGAATGGGCTGGAGGAACATTCAGGGCCACAAAAGGGGTAAAACTTTGAAACTTGACTTAAAGGAAATGAGAAGTACTAAAGCACCACTACAAAAAACAAATTAAAAAACAAAACAAAACTGCACAGGTGTGGATGGGGAGGAAGAGGACAACACACAGGAGCCCTACCCCACCCAGTTCACTAGCCATTAAAGACAAGATTGTAGGCCCAATTCTGCTTCTCACTTGCTTACAGACTCTGGGTTGCTTTCTTCCTCTAATTGAATCCCAGTTTCCTCATGGGAAAAAGGAGTTATTTGATGTGCACTCTGGTTCTTGTAGGTGTTAGCACATATCTGCAACCTTAGAGAGAGCCATCAAGAACACAAGCCCTTCCTGGAATCTCAAGGCTAGCAAAGGCCAGTGTGCACTGACAGTCACAGTACTCAACCATGTGGACTGTGGCTCTAATTAGAGAAATCAACTCTAAACCAGTATCTTCAACAGGAGACAAGAAAGCCTAAAACCCAGCTGGACCCAGGAGAGCTGGAGGCCCTCCATGAGGCCTAATGGGAGGCCACCTACCTGACTGCCACACTGGTCTCTCACAGTCTTGTCAATTTTGGCAATTTCTTCATCTGGATCCTGCAAAAACTAACATAAAACAATCCACAATCCCCAAAGAAACACAGAATAACCCAAAGACAAAAAAAGAGAGAAGGGGAGGGGGGTTAGATTATGAGTACCATTTCTGGCAGTGACCCTCCCACACGCACCAAGTCCCATCAATAGGTATGTGGGCAGACCCATGTCTGGTACCCAGGTAAGATGGGGGGGGGGGAATAATCTCCAATCTGTCCCCTTTGTACTCACAACGGCCACATTTGCCTTCCTTTTCCTGGAGCGAACAGAGAAGTCAGTGCCACCTTCTTCTTTCATAGGGTCCCGTTCGTTCCCATCTCTGCAAAGCCATGGTGGCAAAGAAATTGAGGTGAGTTCTCCCCAAATCTTAACCAGCCCCTCCCCCACGGCTGCACACCCTACCCTTCCCAGCAGCCAGGCCACTCACCTCTCCTTCCTTTCCCTTGGCATGGCGCAGGCTCTGGCTCTGGCTACGACTTCAGACCTGGGGGGCACGAAGCGGGCAGCGGGGTGAAGACCACGGGCGGGCGGAGGGGGCCAGGTCCCGCGGGCCTGCCCCGGGCACCCCTCCCCCCTCCCGCGCGGACGGCGGCGGGAGCCTCCCGGGCCGGTCGGGAAAATGGCCGATGGGCCCGGGGTGGCCTGTCACCCGCGGCGCCGCCAGCAGCCCGGGATTTCGGGTCCGAACCCGTAGTGGAGATGGGGGTCCAGACGACCCCCGAAACCTTTCAGTCCCATCTTCTCCCTTTGGGCCGGGGTTGCCTCAGTCTTTCCTTCAACACCTCTCCTACCCGTCTCTGAGCCACCCTACCCGGGGCACCCCGCGCTGACGCCTCCGGGACCAGAAGACCCGGCGACCCGGCCTCGCCCCACCCCCACTCCCGGCCCGACCCGGCCCGACCCGGGTGCTCTGGGAGTCTCCGCCCGAGGCGCCTGTCTCCGCAGTCCGCAGCGGGGCCTTACCCGAAGCGGTCTCCGCGGTAGGCAGGCGCGCACGAGCCGAGGCAGGAGGCCGGAGGCGAGCGGGAAGCCGGGAGGCGGGAGGCGGCAGGCGGCGGCGGGCCGAGCGCGCGGCGGTGGCGGGATCCGCGCCTGCCCCCTACACCGCTTTGGCTGCCGAGCCGGCTGCTCCTGCGCCCGGCTTAGAGCGGGACATTTAAAAATCCCTGCGCGCGGAACCGGCCCCGGACCGCCCTCGCGCCTCCCAGCCACCTCTGCCCCGCCCCGCCCGGGCTCGGAGCCCCTCAGCGGCAGCCCCAGGGCCAGGGCCCGCCCAGCCACCGCCCTCAGGACCGCCCCCGCCTCGGCGCAGGCCAGCGAGGCGCTCAGGGCCGCTGGGGGCGGGGCCAGATCGGGGGCGGGGCCATCCCAGGGGCGGAGTCTCTGGGGCGGGTCCTACGGCGGAACCCGCGCAGGGGCGGGGTTAAATGACAGGGCCTGCGCGCCGGAGAGACAGGACGCGGGACGTGGTGGGCGGGACTACGAGGCTGTGGCGGGGCCTGCGCGGGGTGGGACGCGGGAGAGCAAGCGGGCCGGCCAGCGCGCGCGGTCGGGGGCGGGGCCGTGCCGGGGCCGGACGCGGGAGAAGTCTGGCGGGAGCTGCGCGGAGGGGCGGGCCGAGGGGCGGAGCCCAGCGGTGCTGTGGCTGCAGAGAGCCGCGTGGCCGGCGCGGGTGGAATGTAAACACCGCTGGCTGCGAGGGTTCGGGACCCGGCTGGGTGGTCCTGGCCGGACTGATGCACGAGAGAACCCCGGAGCGGAGAACCGGTCGTCCGTCTGCCTCACGCGCTCGCGCGCACTGCCCTCCTAGCACGTCCTCCCCGCCCCCGAGACGCAGAGTTCCGGGCCTTGAGTGCGGGGCGTGGATGTCCCCAAGGTCACAGTGTCTGGTGCCTGGGCTTCAGGCCGCTGAGTCTGTGACCTCCTGTGGGCCAGGTGTTATTCCTGGCTGCGTGTCCATTCATCTTATTAATGCATTCATTCATCA